GCACTATAATCACAGTTGTGATAATGCAGTATTTCTGCATATTAGATTAAAACAGTTTCAAAAAGTGTCTTTGCTTCCTTTTTGGCTTCTTACCTATTTGGTAGATATTTCCTGTATGATAGTTTATTACTTTTCTGTATCTAATGCAGAGATATTTTGAGGCTTACAGCCTTCCATTGCTCAACATCTTAGTATTTCTAGAGGGCTTTTTTTTAAACAAAATGTATATATGAGAGTGTCGTAATCTACTTTAGAAGAATTATATTTTTTGAATGAAACTGTCTATGATAGAGAATGAATTTTAGCTTATAACTATCTGTCATAAATATTTATTTTAGAAGCATAATACTTTAAAGCATTATTGAAAACTACTTTTTTTAAGTAGTTTGTATTCTAATGCATGGTATGGTTAATAATTTTTTAAAAAATAGTTTAGAATTTAAAACAGATTAGAGTCAAAGTAAATTATTTTTGTAAAATCGACAAAGTGATGTTATAGAATTTTGGTTAATCTAAAAGTTTTAAGAAGTTGATTTAGAAAGTAGTGTCATATATTGAAGACATCAGAATTTAAATATATTTCTAAATGCTCAGTTGACCCACCTCTAGACTATTCCTTAAATGAGCTGAGAAGAAGAAAAAAAGGAGAAAAGTATATAAGAAAAAGTAAAGGATGCTGTCTTCTGTTTGCAGGTTTGTAGATGATATTGCAGAGGATTACTGAATTTTTCATCTGTGAGAATTGAAGGCTTTGATCTGAGTCCTTAAATATTTGTGAATAAAGCCTGTGCCAGTTTTTAATTAGCGTTAATTCCAACAGTGAGGATTGAAAAGCAGAAGGATAATATTAGTCAGCAATTGTAAGAAGATGAGAAGCAATATTAATATAAGTTCTGTCTACTGCCTGCATATTAATTATTTTGGGGTTCTCACAATAAAAATAATCCCAGGTCGTAGAGAATCAGTGCTAAAAGTTAAGCAAAATAGGTAGTGATTAAATGTCATGTTACGGAAGATATTTTTCTAGGTAAATGGTAATAGTGAATTAAAACAATATAAAATAATCTTTTACTTACCCTCATAACAAAATTATATAATTTAATATTTCAGAGTTAGGAAATATCTGAAATAATTGTAGCTGTATATCACCTTATGTTGCATGTTTCTCCCTTGTGTTTAATATGTTATTCTGTATGTATGTAGTATTTGTATGGAGACTTGTTTAACTTTTTATTTTTTTTTAATTCTCACTTGGATGTGCAAAGTTTAGAGAGTAACTTTTTATTACTGTGTACATGACTGATTTCTTATTAATTTTTAAGTATAGTTGTGCTCTAAATATAAAATTCATTTGTTGCCTTACCTTTCTTTAATAGCAATTATCTTTATGGTTCCCAAATGCTTCACAATTCTAAATTTATGTTTATGGTATCATGAAAGGTGAAATTCCCATTTCCATGCTTACTCTCGTAATACATGACAAAGTATGAGTGGTGGGATTTTAAGTCTGAAGTACCAACTAAACATAAATATACTTTCTGGAAAAGTGCATATTTACAAACAGTTATGGATATGTAACTTCAGTATGTTCAAGCACAGATACTTGGCTTTAGCTCCAGGTAGAAGCTCTGAGCATTTCTGCACATCAGATCCCTTGGTCTAATTCAGATTCCCTTGTTTTGTTTGTGGAAAGATAGCAGTATTAGTGTCTGACATCCCAAAAGTTTTACTTGTACATTCATTTGAGTACTTTTGTTTGTTTCTTCTGCTGAAATGCAGAAGTAAAAGAAAGTATAGAAACAATAAATTCAAAACTTGCAGTGCAGAAAAAGTTTTAAACTGACTCTGTGGTAACTAAAGTAACCAATTCTTCCAAGAAATTGAATTTATCTGTTTTCAGTATGTGGTTTTATATGTGTTTATTTTACATATTAATTTGAAAAATTCACTTTTAAAAGTAGGGTAATGAAGAGACTTGAGCTTTTTCAGTGCTTGATATAGGTGACATGACATACACATATCAGTCAAAGATGACGCATTTGACTTGAAAGAAAATAACCTGACACTTGGAAAGAAACAGTCACAGAACTCCTTAATATTCCTTGATCTTTGTTTTGAAGTTTTGCTTTGATGTATATTCAGGCCTGTGAGAAATGTTGCCAGCTAATGCTTGTACTAGCTTTTCCTGTAATTTGCATTGCAAATGGAATCATAGACTTAGATTGGGAGGGAGGTCCTCCTATCTGACTCCTTGCTCATAGCAGTTCCAGTTAGATCTGACTCTGTAGGTCTAGCCCACATCAAATTTCAAAAGTTTTAAGGATTAAAATTTTTTATTTCTCCACTATTTGACCATTCTCATGTCATATTTTTTTCGTTATACCTTTTCAGATTTTCTTGTCTTGTAGTCCTGTAGATCTGTAGTTCCTTGACTTAGCTCTGTGAACATCTGAAAGCTAGGGAGCTCGACACTTGCTTGAATTCAACAAAGGGAAACAGGAAGTTCTAGAATCATAGAGTCCTTTAGGATAGAAGTGACATTAAGGTCATTTAATCATGTCCGTAAGTGCCATATATACAATCTTCTCCGTAAGTGCCATATATACAATCTTCAGCTGAACTGCTTCACATACTTTCTGTAGATGAAGTCCACCTCCTCTTTAATAACTTGAATGCCTTTCTTTTACTGTAAGGTTAGCTTAGAGTAGCTTACACATACATGTTCATGCAATAAGTCAAGTTTCATCGGTTAAAGATATCTCTTGCTCCAAGAAAGAAGATAGCAAGCATTAATAAGAGAAGCTAAAACTCTGGTGAGAGTGTCCTTATGAAGAAAACTATACCAGTGTAACAAGATTGGCTCATCATTATCATCATGTGAGTAATAGATAAAAGATAGCCAGCTTAAGATGGATAAAACTTAGGTCAAAAATAATTAACAGTTCAGAGGGATAGAATGAGAACCTTTCCTATGAGGAAAGATTAATAGAGTTGGAGTTCTTCATGCTGTAGAAGAGAACTCTGCAGAAAGATGTGATTTCAGCTTTTCAGTAATAAGGGGTTCTTATAAGAAAGATGGAGACCCTGTAGTGGTAAGACCAGGGATAATGGTCATGAAGTACGAGAGGGTTGATTTAGATTGAACTTAAGGAAGATATTTTTTACAGTAATGGTGTTGAGGCACTGGAACAGATTGTCTAGAGAAATTGTGGGTGCCCTGTCCCTGGAAGTGTTTAAAGTGAATGGGACTTTGATCAGCACTGTCCAGTGAAGAGCACCCCACTCTGTTACAGGGTCTGGTGTACTAGATGATTATTAAAGTCCCTTCCAGCCCAAACCATTCTATGATTTTTTGTTGTTGTTTGCAGTGTTCTTTCTATTGAAGACACCTGGTAATGACAAAAGCCTCTGGTTTAGATTGAAAGCTGGAATACCTCTTTTTGGCACAACGTATAAAACACCACCTGAATATTACTCTGTCCAGAAGAGAACCTTAAGATCTGCATTTATTTGGTATCATCAAAAGAAAAAGTTACATGTAAGAAAAAGTGATATGTAATCATGATAGTAAAAAGAGTACACTTTTTTTTCATATTTGATGTTGTTTCTAAGTTACTCAGTGAAAAAAATGGAAACCATCCTGAAGGACATGGACTGTCTTTTAATTTCTTTTATAGAATACAAATGTGTACTTTTTTATGTTTATAATTGAAATCTTAAGTGTAATATTGACATAGCAGTCTGTCAGTGGAATAGATCAATGAGAAGACAGTTTTCATTCACTACACAGCTGCTGTGGTGTTTTGTTTCAGTTTTTTACTGATGTGTGAATGGAGAGAGGTTCTATTTTCTGCTTTGTTTTGACTGGAATATTAGCTGGTCCTTGGATTTTTTTTTTCCCTTTTTAGGCATGCTCTGTACTTTTTCTGTAAGGTGACTGTTTCTGAGGTGAAAAACTTACCTATATTAGTCATAAAAGATCTCCCATGTGGTAAGAAAATGATAAAAGATAAAGTACAGCCTTGACTGCATTGCTTATCACTTCATCTTTCTGCTTAATAAAACCCAAACAGAATAGAAGAGCAAAAATGCCATAGTAAATTAGGGGTAGAGCACTGGTGGAATTCTTTGCCAAATATGCCAAACCTTTAACTTTTTTATAATTCCCTGTGATTGACACTAGATCCTTTTGTGCATTACCTGCTAGGTGGAATGAAGTCTGGCGTACAAAAAGGTGTCGTTTGACATTAATGCAGCTTCAGAGAAATTAGATTTTCTGTAAAGTTTTAGCAGCACTGGGGATAAATACAAAGGGTTATAAGCAGTGTAATGATCTTTGAATCTGCAGCTTCATCCTATCCTGTATCCCAGGAGGCTAATGTAGTTTCACAGGAAAAGGTACCAAGATGCATCACTTATCTTTCTCCTCCATGCATATGCTATCAACTCTGATGTAATGCATTAACATTATAATAAAAAGAATTTGTCAATCTGGAAATAGATAGAAGCAGGTATTTGGAGGCAGAAAGGAAGAGAAGGAAAAATAGAGTCATGTTGATGCAGATATTTTTACAAATTCTGACATGCATTTAATTTATTAAAATCTCTCCTTTGAAGTATAAATAAAAAGCACATATTCTGTCATTGATGCTATCATACTGATTTTGTTAGCCTTTTATTTTTGCAGTACTAATGTGAAAACTTTTATGTAAAGTAATTGTGGAATTCGGTGTTAATCAAGGTATTTCAATACAAAATGTAAAAGGAAAAAAGTCCCAATGGTTTTAAAAGCTGTGAATAGATTACAGCACTGGTATGAATTAATTGAAATGTAAATTTTCACTATGACAAAAATAAGTTCAAAGTCTCAGCAGTTCTCATCCTCTTTATTCTACCAACTTTACTGGCCACATTTAGGTTTTTTAAAGGAAATCTGTAGAGGTTCTAACTAGCTAAATATTATAATTAACAATTTTTTTCTCATTATTTTGTGTTTTCAGGTAACATGCATTTGGAACAGGAATGAATACAGGTCAGGCAAAAAAATCTTTAATATCCCATCTAGGCAGTTGTTATGTAATTGAAAGTCTAATATCAATATGCCTATTTTCTCAATATAATACCTAAATAATACCTCTTTTCTCAATAATGTATCTGATCCAGAGTCTGTTTATTTGGTTTCACAGTTACTGACTGTTGTTCATATTCAGTGTTTCTTTCACTCTCTAGCCACTTTGATTTCTATTTTTTTTTTTTTTCTTTAGTGGCCAACAAAAACAAGTCCCTTAATTTTTGGCCCTAATGAAAGAAATCACAGCTCAAAATCTTACTATTCTTTTTTTTTTTCCTTGTGATTATTTATAAATTTCTGGTTTTAATTGTGTTCTGTATTATGTAAAATTCCAGTGATCACTGGTGGCAAGAAACCTAGAAGTTACTGCTTATTCTGAAGTTGCAAACATCATAACAATTCTATGGGTTTTTTTTGTCCTAAATCGATGATTTCTTAGGGAGCTATCAGAAATAGGTAAATTCTAGGATATTTCCTTGAATTTGGGCTGTGTGAGTTATGCCCACCCATATCAAAATTTGTTCTCTACAGAACTAATTTTGAGAAAGTGCCAAGAATCTGTATCTTCTCAGTGACCATTAGAAATATTCAGTAAAAGAAGTCTTTAAAATTGAGAAACAATTTTCTTAGATAAAGGTAATTGAATGATTTCCATTTTGCTTCTAAGGTATATTTTAAATTTCATTTTGATGTGAAGTCACAAAAGAATTTAGATAAACCAGTTTGATTTTTAAATTTAAAAAGGAATTATTAAATTTGGGTTTGCATAATGGAAGCAGGAGCGTTTGTGTCACGCGTTGATACTAGCCACTTTATAGCCCCTGTATATTCCAAGTGGTTTTCCTGCTGGTAAAATGGAAGTTCTGCCATAAGCATTTTTCTTTCATTTATGGAATTACAGGTACCGAAGTATGATTTAACTGTGATAAATTATTGTTATTATTGTTATCGCAGAGATTCTTTGGAAGCTAAAGAAACTAGTGTGTCAGTATTTAAAATAAACAAGAAACTTTAAGTCTACTTCAATGTATGTAAAATACAGCCAGTACTTATAGATTGTGACATTTTAAGTCAGATGTTGTTTTCAGAATAAGAAATGTTTATAATCCATTATGTGTAGGATATGAGTTCAATGAGAAACTGCAGTGGTTTCTGATGTGTTTGGGTCAGGCTCCCTAGATCTTGGAAATCACTAGAAACTACTCCAGATATATTTCTAAGTAGTTGAAAGCAATATCTGTACCTAGATCTACATAAATTTAGCATAAACATAAAGCTTTGACTTTGAAATTTTCCAGTTAGAATGATTAATGAATTGCAAAAATGCCTTCAGGGAAAAGATGTCCTACATTAGAGGAGAGAGAGCCAGACAAGACGTCTGTTTAGCTTAAAGCACTACCTGTCTCCAAAGGCAAGACACTTACTTTTCAACTAATATTCTACATGTCAAAACCATTGAAGTCTAGTAACTAACTGTAGCTAAGTGAGGCTGTCAAATGATTTTTTAAAAAATTATATTTTAAGTAAAATTATGTCTAATTTTGTGCACATAAATCTGTGAAACTGCAACTTTTTTAAGTGATAATGGATTCTTATTTCTGAAAATTGATTATAAGGATCTTTTTTATCAGTCCATGAATATTTTTAAATTTCTCTGATTCATTTTCATACAGGTAAAGTTCCGTAAATAATAGGAAATCAGTAATAAATAATAATCCTCTACAGTAATTGGTTTCCATTTACCATACAATTTTTTGTTTTATTTCTGGATTGTTTCTGTCTGTATTTACTTATTCTTGTAATTACACAAATAACTTTGTGTTTTGTTTAGAAATTATTTGGATTAGCATTATTATATTTGTTTAGCACTTATTATAGAATTACTGAAACAAATTGCATAACTCTGAGGTCCTGTGGATTGCTTGGAAAAGTACCAATATGAATAAACATCTTTTAAGTAAAATTTATGGAATTTAACGAGATGAACTATCCTACTTTAATATTCTGGTCTGAATTCCTTAATGTCTTTCACAAACCTCAGTTTGAAGACAATGAATTTTAGAAATATTAGTTATTTTAATTAATAAAACATAGTGTTGTTCTTGGGAGAATAGTTTTTGTCTTAGGTATGCTTCTGAAATACCAACTAGTCTTATGTAGCTTTAACATTCTGGAAAGCAGAGCATTCAGTTAGCTGTGGAAGTTGTCTGAATGTTTAGTTCATGAACTGGTAGATTTTAACTTATTTTTGTTTTAAAATACAGCTTTCACTTTAAATTCATATCCTAATAGATATATCTGCAAATAATCCCAGTTTAAAATAATGATACTCATTACACAAGCCATATATTAGGTTTTTGTTTTAAGAAAAGTTTACTCCTAGCAAATATTTTCATATTTGGTGGTTTTGAAAGCATTTAAACATGTTTTTCTGCTAACATCAAAGAATATTTTTGTACAGTTTGTTAGATGGATTATACCTTTAATTTGTGCAAAATAATAAGTGCAAAACATTTAAGAACACATTTGTAGATATTATTATCCAAAGTGCTGTTGTGTAAGACTGTAGCACCTAGTTTTGTGGGTACACTACAAAGACTATTTTTAGTCTACAAATGATTGAGTGAATTAGAATTATTTCATCACAAATAATTTTAAACCTGACCATGTAAATTACTTTAATTAATATTGTAATTCAGACATGCAATGGTCATTATTTTAATGCAAACAATAATTATCTAGACAATATTTCCTTTACAAGATTGTTTAGTATATTATTATAATCATAGAATCATGAAGGTTTGAAAAGACCTGTAAGATCATCAAGTCCAACTGTCAACCTAGCACCACCAACATGTTCATCACTAAACCTCATCCTCAAGTGCTATATCCACATTCCTTTATTATTACCAAGGGATGGTGGCTCTACCACTTCCCAGGGCAGTCCAGTCCAATGCTTTTAAACCCTTTCCAATTTTCTTTTTCCTCATATCTAATCTAAATCTCCCCTGGAAGAACTTAAGTCTGTTTACTTTCATCCTGCCACTTGTTACCTGGGAGAAGAGACTGACACCCTCTCACTCCAGCCTCCTTTTAGGTAGCTGTGGAGAGAGATAAAGTCCCTCCTGATCACCCTTTTCTCCAGTCTAACCAACCACAGCTGATAAACAAACCTCAGCTACTCCTTGTAATGTAATGTGGAAGATTTGCTATCAATCTTACTCCTTTTTTTCACTGGACAGTGATGGTTTTCATTGTGCAGGGATGATGTACAACCACTGTTTTTAAGTTAGATTTTTCAATTTTTCATTTTAGCTACCCGGAACATTTTAAAGGTTGTGGGTTTATTAATGGTCATGTAAACTTATTGATAGCTGGGAAAACAACATCATCATTTTACAGAGCCTTTTATAGGTGTTTTGCAAATAAAAAAGGTAACCTTAATTATATTTGAGGGCTGGAAACTAAACTAGTCTTTCTGACATGGTTAGACTGATTCTTTGGGTACAAATGCTGAGCAAGAATTTCTGTGTGAACTGTCATAATATTCAGAGAGGGAGCTGTTGGTGCTTTTTTCATTCTTGCAGTTGAGACCAAATATGCAACTGCAAAATTAACAAAAGAAATTATTATGTTTTCAGAACTTCAGCACTTAAGAATTACCATGTTTCCTTTAACTACCAGTTGTAATGTCACATCTCTGCCTATGAAAGCAATGACTTAACACTGCTGCTTTGAAATGTTTCCTTTTGGGACTATGGAATTCTTAGAGCTTTCTACAGACTGTTAAACTATAGTGTTACTCTGAAGATGTGTTGCATCATTACACAGAATATAAAATGTGTATCTGGTCCATGCTCTCTAGAGTAGCTGCCTCTCTGGTTTGACATATTGTAGTCTTTTCTGTCACTGATGAATGGCAGTTATGCAGGAACTTATTTTCATAGACATTGTAAAATAAAATGTCTGCCTTTAAATTTATAGAGGCAAAAAAATAGCAAGGAAAAGGGGAGTAATGTAAGGTCATGTAACAAAGAGACAATTGCAAAAGTATGAAGATTTTTTCTTCTGAAGGAAGGATGCTGAAAAATGCTGTAAGGATAAGGTTTCCTTTAGAATGGATCTCTTTCCTTTTGAGAGCAATTTTGAAACTACATTGATTAGGTGATCAATTAGTAATTGATTAAGAGGTACTGATTACACTTAGATTCTGTTTGGGTTTAATTGTCCATTTTTTAATTATTTTTTTATGGTGGTCAAAGGATTATTGTGGAAATAATGGCAATCAGGTTGCTTAACATATCAGCTGGTTTTAGTAATCTCTGAACATAAATAGTGGGGGACCAAATTGCTGGGGTTTGCATGTTACAGTTATTTTTTTCTCAGTTTGCTCAAGGATTTTAGGCTTCCACAGGTAAACTTAAAGTCTCTTATATTGCTTTGAAAGGACTGTGTTACAATTTAGAAATCTAATTTTGTGATTAAATCATTGAGGAACCAAAAAATAGACTCCAGCTGAAGAAATATAAGTGCTTTTGTGGATTTGGGAAGATGCTGTTTATTTCTCCATTTCCATTGTATGCCTTTTTCATGTTTGTTTGACTGCTGCATTTATATAAAAATCACTATTAATCTTAGGATAATTTAATTAGGCATTTTTTTTAGTAGTGGCTGGTATCCTGAGAGGGTTGATAATTACAGATTAATCTTTGTATACTCTTAAAAAATGCTGCATTAAAAAAGGACCAGTGGGGATTTTGAACAAGCTGTCACTTAGGCAGATGGAACCACCAAGTAAGAAAATAAAACAAGTGAAGAAAAAAGGTAATCGTAATGTTTCTTAGCTCCTGGAGTTTTGTGGGTTTTGTTTTGCTTGTGAGCATAATGTTTTTTTCCTCCTGCTACTTTTCTTAGTCTTATGTTAACTGCTGAGCCAATTCTGAAATAATCTTTGTAAATAC